AGACATCTTTCACGTACACCTTCTATTTCTTTTCTTTTTTTCCACCCTCACACCTCAACCCCATAACTCATCACAATCCACACCAACGTGTAATACAACCAAATCCTTCTATCCCAGTCCTTTCCCCATAACCTTTTCCCTATCCACCACATTTCCCTCATCATAATCACCGTTTTTTCTTCTGTCTCTTATATGCGCTTCTTGCCCTCCATTTTGCATCAGCGTGTATCCCAGGTACTTGAACTCCTTAACTTCTTCTAATCTCTTTTCTTTTCACCTCCAGTCGTACCTCACCCTCTACCCTCCTCCTTTCCTAAATCTCATTTCTTTGTTTTCTCTGTGTTTAGTTCCAGCTCTTTTTCTTCAAGATATCTCTTAAGTCTGCTTATCATAGATCTCATGTTCCGCTCCTCTTCTGCTAGTATAGCCACATCATCCGCATACATCAGCGTGTACAACTTCTCTCCTTTTAACTTTACCTCTCCCCACCTTCCCTTCCTAATATAATCTTCCACATCCGCTAGTAGTATTATAAATAACAACGAGCGGGTATCCTTGCCTAACTCGTCCAAAATTTATCTCCCTTTCTTCCCAAAACTCTTACCCTACTTTTCGTCTCCCTTAAAATCTCCTCTACTCTACATACCAAATCCCTCTTTCCCTCATCGCTTTTATCAAAACCTCCCTATCCACCGAATCAAATGCCGCTTTCAGATCAACAAATAATTCCACCATTTTTCCTTATTTTCTCCCTATTCTGCTGTTTATCAAATAGTTCAGAGCATATATCTGGTTCCCATTCCTCTTCTAAAACCTGCCTGATTACCCGGTACCAAATTCTTCCCCTCGATTTCCTCTCTTAATCTATTGGCCAAAACGGCTGTATATATTTTGTACAACGAAGCCATTATTGTCACTCCTCTATAGTCCTTTGTTCTCTCCCCCTCCCCTTCTTTAAAATTGGCACTATTTCTCTCTCCTTCCATTGCTCCGGCCATCCCTCTCCTTTCCACACCCTCTTACACATGTCCATGCCCAACTCACCAACTCTTCTCCCCCGTATTTCCACACCTCATTTGGTATACCGTCACCTATCGCTTTTCCATCTTTTAATTTACTTATAACATTCCTTACTTCTCCCAACCCCAACTCTGCTTCCTCTTGTCTTTCTATCTCCCCATCTCCCCTCATCACTTTACTTTCCACTCCATCTAATAAATCCATAAAATATATCTTCCATTTATCCGCCTTTATCTCCTCATTTATCCTCTTCCTTTTTCTTCTCTCTCTCTACCTACTAGCTCCCATACTTTCCCTTCTATCCTCGCTTCTCTAGCTTTTACTATCATTTTCGTCCTTCCTTCTATCTTCTGCCTTTCGCACATTTCTCTCTATTCCCTCCTTTTTTTCTTATATTTTCTCGCTTCCCCATCTCCCTTCCTCCATTTCCTCAGCCCTTTTCTTACCTCTCTCTTTTTTCCTCTGCATTTTTCATTTTACCATCCTTTTTTGTTGCTAGTTTTTCTCCCTACTTCGTTTTCCTCTATTATTCCTTTATCCTATCTGAAACTTCTATCTATTTCTTCCTGAATGCTTCTCTCCCCTACTCTTACATCTCCTATCCTTCTCCTATCCTCACTCCTCCCCTCTTCATTTCATACTCCTCTCTTTCGTACTTTTCTCTCTCCTTTTCTCTTTCTTTCCCTCCTCCACTTGCCTCTAATCCATACCACTACCGGATAATAATCCAAGTCTACCATTTCCCCTACCTCTAATTTCTCTACTCTTTCCTTCACCTTCCATTCTCCTAACACGTAATCTATTACCGTTTCTCCTCTACCTCTCGAATATGTGATCTCCCCATCTTTGTCTTCCTTCGTGCTCTCATTCAAAATAGACCATCCCCTTTTCTCAATAAATTCGATTAATTTTCTCCTTTCCTTGTTCACTTTCTTGTTTTTTGACTTTCTCCCTTTCTTTTCCATTATCAGCTCTACTTTGTCTTCAAATCCCCCCTTCTCCTCCTGTTCTCGCATTGAAGTCACCTCCTATTAATGTTTTCACGTCCTCTCTAACTGTCTCCATCCACTCCTTCAATCCTTCTAATTTCTTTTCCATATCATTATTCACGTATACTCCAATTATCCTCCATCTTTCCTCTCCTATCCTTACTAAGCATTCCATTTTGCCTTCCTCTTTCTTCCTCCCCTTCTTTTTTTTTCTTCTACTATCCCCTTTCTTATCCTCAACAACATTCTCTCTATCGCCTTTTCTTTCTTGTTCTTTCTCTTCGCTATCTGCGCCTTTCAGTTGTACTTCCTCGGTAGCCCTGCTTTCATCTTTCCCCATCCTTTTTCATCCAGCCATGTCTCTATCATAATTATTATATCCCATTCTCTTATTCCTTTCCAAAACTCTTTATTTTTATTCATCACTTTAGCTACGTTCCAGAACGCTACCTTCCATGCTCCATCTTCACCTGCTCCACTCTTGTCTTCTTTTGCCTTTGCTCTCATCCCCCCGCCATCCATTTTCCGCCACCACCGTCATCTTGAACTCCTTCCTTTTCGAGCGTTATTTGTTCTCCTCTTTCTTCCGCCCCCATCTTTCTCTTTCCTCTCCTTATTTCACCTTCTCTCCCTCGGCTTACTCCTTCTCTCTCCTTCTTCGCATCCCCTCTTCTTTTTCCCCTTCCCCTCTTTCTTCACACTCATCCATCTCCTTTCCACCTCCCGTCACAACCTCTCCCTCTCCCTCCTCGCTCGACGTACTACTACTTCTAGTCTAGTCATCTTCACTCTTCTCCCCTCTCCCTCCACACCCTGCCTTCATTATCTCGCAGTACTTCTTCCTCATCATCCCATTTCCATCACTCACCACTTCCTTCTATCTGAATTTTTCCATAACTTACCCACACTCCCTTTTCATCTCCCCTTTCTTTCCTTGCTATGCCTTCTATTTTCCACCTCATTCTTCTCTCCTTCCATGTCAGGTCATCATCTATTCTGATTCCCCTTTCTCTCAGCCTTCTCCTTTCATTCATAATCTTCCTTTTTGGCTCTAAATTTTTTAAGCTCACAACTGTTAGTGCTACTCCTCCATCTCTGCCTCCCTCTATCATTTTCATGTACAACCGTTTCTATTCCTATCTCCTTTACTATTTCTATAATACTCTTTTCCACCTCCTTCCTTCCACCTTTTGTTTCTCTCACCATGACGTTTCTCCTTCTCCTTTCTCTCTCTCTCTCTCTCTCTCTCTCTCTCTCTCTCTTTCTTATTTCTATCTTTTTTTCTATTTGCTTTACACTTCTCTCCATCTCTCCTCCTCCCCTTACCCGTGTCACTACTCCATTTTCTTCCTTCATCAGTTTTTCATACTTCCGTTCTATCTCCTATATTCTTGATTTGAGCTCCTCTCTTTCTTTCATCCATCTCTCCTCTTTTTTCCTGAATTCTTTTTTAACTTCTTCTATCTTTTCCTTCATCTTTCTCTCCTGCTTCTTGAATCCCTCCTTTACATTTACCATCATGCACTTGAAATCCTCTCTCATCTCTCTTATCATTTCCTTTAATTCTTTTTCCTTCTCAATATATTCGGTCTCCTTTGCCATCTCTGTTAGCGATCTTGGAACCTTTTTACTCTTTCCAAAAATTTTACTCTTCTCCAGCTCATCTTTTTCTCTCTTCCTTCTCCATATCTCATCTAGACTCCCCAAGCTGTCACTCCTTTCTCTCTCTTTTGCTCCTTTCCTTTTAATAAACCCCGCGTTTCCCGCACTTCCTTCTGCCCTACCCCCCTTTTCGCCTCCGTCCTCCTTCTCGCTCATCCTATCTTGTAAACTCTATAACTATTCTGCTCTATACCCGACTGTGCCCGACCACGTGCTATTGCTCCGCAATGTCTTCCTCTCTCTCCTCTATGCCTTCTCTGTCTATACCCATGCGCGAGCTCGCGCTGTCGCTTGACGCTCGCTGTTGAGTATTTTCCTGCTTCGTATTTGACTTTTTTTCTCTTTTCGATAGAGTGAGCTACAGGAAACTTTTCTCTAGGGACATAGTGAACTTTTTAGTTATTACAACTCTCTAGGTTTTATAGAGTATGAGGAGGTCGCTTGTGCGACGAGTTCAGTTCAGTTCGGTTCAGCAAGCCAATATGGCGAGTCGTGTATAAGTATAAGTATCCGTTCTTTCGAGTTGTGTTACAATACTTAATTGAATTCACGTCTACCCTTCGATATACCAACCAACACGAGTCCTTAACAGAACACTCGCCTCTGTCTACCTTGTCGCACCTTTATATGTTTCCCATACTATACTTGCCTTTATCCTATCACATCCGCTATTACTTTATTCTTTGAATTGTCACCTCTCAATCCTATCT